GTTGAATGGAAGTCCTACAACTACGGAATTAAAGAAGCAGCCACATCAAGACTGGTAGGAGGGGCGGAGGCAGACGGACTGGTCCCACACCCATGTGTGGCGGATAAAAATCAGGAGGATACCTCGGCTGGGAAGGTCCTCCCTGAGGACTGAGGGGTCTCCGTCCCACACCAGGTGCCCTGCTCAGGGTTCCAGTGCCAAAAGAGAAGTCCCCATAACTTCTGGCTGGAAAAAAACAGCAGAAACTGAGGCTCAGGGAGGCTGAGGCAGCTGGAGCCCCAGGCAGCATCTCTTAAAGGGCCCACAGAGGGACTTATCAGACTCACTCCCTCTAAGCTTGGAGGGGAGGCAGCTCGAGGGGCACCAGAGACAAACAGGGAAGAAATGAGCTGTTTGGTACTGGAGCGAGGGCTGGAGAGGGGGCTTTCTCTGGGACAAATGTGCTGTAAAAGACTTTGTTCCTTTGGTGAGCCCTTCCTTGGGGCGGCAGATAGCCACCATATCTGGGACTCCAGCAACCTGGCTCACACTGGTTGCCCAGCCCTGGTGATTCCCTGAGGCCCTGCCCCACCCAACTTTCAGGCCCACCCAAGCTGTTGCCAGTTTCTTTACCATAAGATTGGCCTGTCTTGAATCCTGCTTCAGGTTTTCCTGAATTCTTTCAAACAAGCAGCACCTGGTCTCAGCTAGCCCCATACCTCTCGTTAAGTAATACATAGAAACAAACACAGGGAGGCAGCCAAAATGAGGAAACAAAGAAACAGGTTCCAAATGAAAAACAGAATAAAACCCCAAGAAAAGAACTAAGTGAAATGAAGATAAGCAACCTAACATATACTGAGTTCAAAATACTGCTTATAAGGATGTTCAATGAACTTAATGAGAACCTCGATGAACTTAGTGAGGGTCTCAAGAGCATAAAAAAGGAGCAGTCAGAAATGAAGGATGCACAGTCAGAAATGAAGAAGGCACTAACTGAAATAAAGAATAATTTATACAGATTAAATAGTAGAGTAGGTAAAGCCAAGAAGCAAACCATTGATTTGGAATATAAGGAAGCAAAAAACACCCAATCAGAACAGCAAAAAGAAAAAAGAATCCAAAAAAAATGAGGATAGTGTAAGGAGCCTCTGGGACAACTTCAGGCATACCAACATTTGCATCTTGGAGGTGCCAGAATGAGAAGAGAGAGAACAAGAAATCGAAAACCTATTTGAAACAATAATGGCAGAAAACTTCCCTAACTTGGTGAAGAAAACAGACATACAAGTCCAGGAAGCACAGAGAGTCCCAAACAAGATGAACCCCAAGAGGCCCACACCAAGACACATCATCAACAAAATGCAAAAGGTTCAAGACAAAGAGAGAATATTAAAAGCAGCAAGAGAAAAGCAGTTAGTTACCTACCATAAGACTGTCAGCTGATTTCTCAAAAGAAACTTTACAGGCCAGAAGGGAGTGGCAAGAAATATTCAGACTGATGAAAAGCAAGAACCTACAACCAAGATTACTCTATCCTGCAAAGCTGTCATTTAGAATCGATGGCCATATGAAGAGTTTCCCAGACAAGAAAAAGTCAAAGGAGTTCTTCACCACCAAACCATTATTATATGAAATGTTGAAGGGTTTTCTTGAAGAAAAAGATAAAATATATGAACAAACAAATGGCAGTGAATACATATCTTATCGACAATTGAATCTACAAACAAAATGAACATGAAGAACAGAAGCAGTCTCATAGATACAGAGAACATTTTGTTGGTTGCTAGATGGGAGGGGGGATTAGGGGAATGGGTGAAAAAGGTGAAGGGATTAAAAAGTTCAAATTGGTTGTTAGACTGACAAACCTCAAAGGGAAGGGGTTTAGGGGTGGGAATAAATAAACCAAAGAACTTACATGCATAACCAATGGACACAGACAACAGTGTGGGAAAAGGCAGGAGGGGGGACGGGAGTGGGGAGGAGGGCGTCAATGGGGGAGGGGGGGATGAAGAATATCTGTAACACATTCAACAATAAAGATAAAAAAAAGAAAAGAAATTCTCAATTCTTCATATCCCAAAAAGTGTTCAATGCCAATTGCCTTTAAGCAAATTTCTTCTATTCCCATCAACCACAGGGATATCTCATTCCCTCAACTTCCTGCAGCATTTTGTTGCCTCTACCTCTTATGTAGCCTATCATAGCTCCGATTTTGGATGTCTTGTTTTCCTAGTGAGACTGTGAGTTCTTCAAGGTCAAGGATCATGTTTTTTTGCTTTTTGTATGACTCTGAAGTACAAACATGATGCTATGTCTTGGGAATTTTCAATAAATATTTGTGGGGAAAATGAATTTATAAATATATTAGGCTCAATAAAATCCATTTTCCTAAAAACAGCCCTTTATTGCTCAAGCAGGATGATATGTAAACTCTAATTTACTGCAGTTGGTGTTTTTATTATGCCCTTCACCAATATACACATTCTAACACTTTGTGACAACTGTTTAGAGGAGACAGAAGGCATGCTTATCAAATTTCAGATGACACAAAAACAAGAGGTAATAAATAATGCACAAGATGACAGTCAAAACTAGACAAGTTGAAATGAAGCAGTCAAAACTAGACAAGTTGAAATATTTAATAGGTATAAGTACGAATTTAGACTTCAAAAACCAGCAGCCCAATTTATATATGGTTAACATCAATTTTATGATAAAACTTTCAAGTTTTAATTGGCTACAAGGCTGACATGAGCCCAACGTGGTATACAGGACTCTGTTCACAGGCTCAGGGCAATGGGTGTCAGGCAAAGCACTCAGGCTCTAACAAGGCACAGGCATGAATTAAGGTTGCTAGGCAGAGGCCAACTAGAGGGGGGTGGAGCCTCAATTTGGGGTAAAGAGGTGAACAAAGTTCCATATTTTAACCTGAGCAAGCTCAGCACATGGTGCAACTTTCACATGTAGCATTAGTTGGAATGCATTGTCTGATTATGATACCATTCAGTGATTTCTGATTCTAAGCTGGTGCCAATAGGACAAACCTCATAGAAAGGTTTGTTATTTTCCTTTTGGTCCCATTCTCCAGTGTCAGCCTCAGAGCTGTCCTTAACTTAATACCTCTAATTTATGAAGGTGAGAAATGCCGCGTCATCTGGGTAAATTTAAGTTTTACCCTTGGGAGAGGGGAAAGAAGACAGGTCACAATTTCTCTGGCCTATGTTGGGACAACTGTTCCACCATCTATAGATAGATCTGCTCCTAGAAACCCTTATTTCCTAAAAATTGGGATCAGAGTTCTGGCAAGAAGACTATGACCTGGTCCTTGGCACCAAACCACCAAATAAGCAAATACAATATTAGTCAGTGTTAACAGAAACCTAGCATCTGGAACAAAGTTTCTGCTGTAGTCTGTGCGGCATCAGACCACACAGGAAGAATTCTTTTCTGGACCCTATGATTTAGAAGGATTACTGGGGTGTATCAAAAGTAAGATGACCAGAATGTTGAAGGGATTTAGAAACCAAATTACTAGTTACTCTTTGGTGGTTCAGGCCCAAAGCCTGGAAGGTGTCAGGATGGTGAGTGGGAGGGGTGTATAGGACAGGATACCAGAACTGTCTGCAGAAATGTGAACGCTGTGAACGAATACTAGCGTGTTAGATAACGGCAGGAGGCAGAACTCAAACCAGTGAGACAGAAGCTCAAAATGAAGTGTTTAACCATACTGCTCTTCAAAAGTGGAATACACTTTGCAAGTGAGATTTACAATGTTCAAGTAAAGATCCAATGACTGTCATAGATGTTTTAGCTATAATTCAAGAACATTGTATATAGGAATTTAGATGAGAGAGTTTTTGAGGTCCCATTCAAATCCAAGGTTCTACGATCTAATCAATCTTTAAATTAGAAATGTTCTGCAGAATATGAGGAAGAATTATTGCTTGAGATTAGTTTGTAGTTAAAACCTGGTTTTTGAATGGCTATTTCTCTCAAAAAAAAAAAAAAAAAAGCGGAACCCATGGGTTATTTAATTTGTGATTTATGGGGGAAGGGGAATAGAAAGAAGGGAAAGGCACTCCCCGAGGGACATGGTAAAGAAATGTTTAACAGAGACCACAGGAATTCCACAGAGTTGTACTGGTGTGAGGGGAAGGCCAGGAAGGAAGTTGTAAACCCTCTCACTCGATAACAAGGAATTGTGATGCTACATGTCCAGCACCGCACAAGGTGAGCACATGTCTTTTTGGGGGGAAAGCATGTTTGGTCTTTGCCTTCCTACCTCTGTGGACCCTGCAGACAAACATGCCAGCATCACACTATTCATGAGAGTTGACTGTCCTTGAAACACTGTTGAGTTTCTATGTCTCTTTTTTCCTATTTGTATGGGTTTCTTGGAGTCGTCCTCTTTTCCAAAAGGAAAGTATTTCGGCACTAGAAGAAATACAATTAAAAATAATAATAATCTAGAGTCTCACGTGGGGAATGAGGTCATTTGCAAAGAAAGTCAAGGTAATGTGCACTTGGGTGAGAAGTCAGATTTTCATCCTAAGAACTGGGGGATGAGGGTGGGTACCACGTGCTGGGCAACCCGAGAACACGCGAATAGGGAGAGGGGGCAAAGAATTTATCCAAAAGCATAATGACACCGTCTGCTGCCTGCCCATCAAGAAGCCTTCCAGTTGCTCTGGCAAGATCATTGCCGCTCTCCAAGTTCGCCTAGGAGACGTGAGGTGTGCACCTGCGGCGGAATTCAGGTAACATCAGCTCCTGATTCCGTGACTGTTGGCAGAGGTTCCCCTGATCTGCGCCCACCTCTCACGCCTCCCCCTCCGCGGTCGCCATCCCGGCCCCTCTCCACGTGCAGTGCTCGCCACCACCACTGCCCGCCTGGCTGCCGCAAGCCCCGGGAGCGCCAGGGTGGGCGCGCGGGCTGCGCGCGGGCCGGCGCCCGGAGCTCTGGGCATGCTCAGTCGCTCGGGCAGGGCTTCGGGCGCGAGCGGGCTGCTTCCGCACCACATTCAGCGGCTGCCAAGGGGAGTCGCCGGGCGCTCGCAGGCTCGGCGCGCGCTGCCCGCGGAAGGACCCGCCGCCGCCCCCTCGCCGCCGCCGCCCCTCGCCGCCGCCCGGAGCCATGGCCGCGCTCGGCCACCCCGCCGCCTTCGGCCGGACCACCCACGCCGTGGTGCGGGCGCTGCCGGAGTCCCTCTGCCAGCACGCGCTGAGGAGCGCCAAGGGCGACGAGGTGGATTTCGCCCGCGCGGAGCGGCAGCACCAGCTCTACGTGGACGTGCTGGGCAGTAAACTGGGGCTGCAGGTGGTGACGCTGCCGGCCGACGAGAGCCTCCCGGACTGCGTGTTCGTGGAGGACGTGGCCGTGGTGTGCGAGGAGACGGCTCTCATCACCCGACCCGGGGCGCCGAGCCGGAGGAAGGAGGTAACTGCCCGGCCGGCGACGCGAGGGGCGCGGTCGGGGACGTGCGCTGGGGCCCCCCTGCCTCCCGACCCGGAGTTGCCCGGGTAATCCTGGAATTGGCCCCCCGGCTAGTTCAAAACTTCCTATTTGGGGTGCGAGGGTTTGTATAAGCAAGTCAGAGAGAGAGAGAGAAGTTCATTGTGCACGCCTCCCTGCAGTCGGCTCAGCTTTGGGTGCCTGGAGAGGACCCTGCTGAGGGTGGTTGTGCAGCCTCGGCAGGTGGGTGGGGTGGGGAATCCATCTCACAAGCATTTTTATTTGTAGAGATTACCAAGCAGCAAAGACAATGCAACTCAAGAGAGTTTCCCAGGGAGGGGAGGGGCGGGGGGGGGCACTCCAGGCGGGCGGGCTGGTGGAGGCTGGGGGAAGACTCCAGGAGTCATTGCCAGTTGGTGACACTGGACCCCCCCCCCCAAGTCCTTCCTGGAGCTGGGTGTAAGGCGGGCCAGATGAATTAACGGGGTGCCGGTGCCCACAGACCTAGGGCGTCCCAAGTTACTTTTTAGTGGTGAAGAGTGAGTCCGAAGAAAGGGACTGGCATGCGAATGAATGAAAGGCGAGTGGTTTGTTGGTGAACTGGGGTCAAATATGAGAATGAAATAGGCTAGGCTGAAAAGCTGTACCCGGCTTTTGGGTTGTGTGTGCGTTTTTAATTAGAAATGATTGTTTCACAAATTCCATAATTTTTATTCTCAATAATTTTGAACTTATAACAGTTAGAGCTTTTTATGTTCTCAAGGGATAGTGACTACTTCAAAATATTGCAGCTTGGGAAATGGCTGTGATTGCTTTAAACGCAAGGTAGGCTTGTTGGAAGAGACAAATAGAGTGAGATTGGATTTTAAAATGCCACCTAGCCTGGGATTCTTCTCATTGCCCTCTGAGAGCCCAGGCTAAAGACTCTGTGTTGCTACTGGCATCAAGTGGCATTGCAAAAAGCTGGTGGTGTCTTTCATATCTGGAGGGTTAGGGATCCCCCCCTTTTTTTGTCTTTATACAATTCATATTGCAAGGCCTCAGAGAGCTTATTATACATGCTTCACTACTTGGTTAATAGAATCTTACATGTTCTGAGAGAAAAAGCATATTTCATTTATTTTGCAATGAAATAATCAGCTTTTTTTCACCCTACCTTAGCAGAAAACCAAAACAGTAACAGGTCTCATTCTTTCAGCTCTTTTATCTCCTTTGCCACACCTCTCCATCTTTGAGTCTGTGAGATGACCCATTCTATTTTAAAGTGATAAGCATGGAAGTCCGAAATATCCTAGGCCTTATGGCAGAGCTATGGGTTATACTTAAAGGGGTGAAATCGATTTCAAAAACCCTTTCAAAATGGTACTCTTCTGATTAGCATGGTAGTCCAATTTCCTGTTAAGAGACTGTCACATATTTAATCATCTATTTCATTTTATTCCTACAATGAAACCTTCCAAATTTTGGCCTTCCTAATACTAAAGTGGGCAGTGATCTTTCTTCCCTGGTAGATTTTTGAGGCATACGTTTTAAATTGACTTTCTTCTTTTTGTTGTTAATCCTCACCTGAGGATATTCTTCCATTGATTTTTTTTAGATAGAGTGGGAGGGAGGGAGGGAGGGAGGGATAAAAGGGGAGCAGGGGAGAGAGACAGAGGGGGTGGGACATCTATGTGAGAGAGACTCATCAATTGGTTGCCTCCCACATGACCCCAACTGAGTTGAGGAAGAACCTGCAACCCAGGTATGTGCCCTTGATCAGGAATCGAACCTGCTACCCTTCTGTCTGTCCTCAGACCAGTGCTCTAACTACTGAGCCAAATTGGCCAGGGCTAAATTGACTTTATTCTTATATCAGCTTGGTAGTCTGCCAGAAGCCACATAGTGTAGTGGAGAACATCAGATTGCATCTAATTCTGTGACCTTGAGGTGTGTCTCCTGCCTCAATTTTCTCACCTGTAAAATGGACATAATAATACCTATTTCATACAGTTGTGATGAATTCATTAATCCACTTGAAATTTATAGGACAGGACATTTCATGAATGTTGGTTATTATTCCCTTAACAATGGGTCATGACAGATTTACTCCTTCTTGAGTAGTAAGAAGTCTAATGTACACTGATGTAATTACAGTGACATTGCCCCTTCCCAGGGTGAAGGGGAGTCATCTTCATGCCGTAGGTTTCATTCTAATCTGCTATGTAGCACTGCCTCCCAGCTTGAGTTTCCTGCTGGTGTGTGGTCTCTCCCCAAAAAACGCCTTTGCCCTTGCACATGGTCTGGATCACCACAGTAACAGACCTTCCAGCCAAGTCATTTTGGATGGGGTCTGGAAAGCAGGCCATTCAGAGTAACTAGCTCTTTTTGAAATCTCTCAGAGCACCATTTTGCTGTCCTAGTTGGTGTTAATACATGCTCGTTGAGTGAATGAATAAGTGAATGAATGAAATGCTATTTAGCTAATACCAACAAGCTGATAATAGTCACTTTAAGGCTCTTGTTGGATTGTTGTATATATATATTTTTAATGTGACACCTGCTTCCCTAATTGTGAAATTCCACAGCCAAGGCATTATTAAGAATTATTATCACTAAACCCCTGGTTTCCTGTTTCCTCGCTCTCCATTTTATTCTCCACACTGTGGCCAAGCTGGTCTTTCTAAAACTCAAATCTGATCCTGTCCCTCCTGTGATTAAAAGTCTTGAGGGGCCTTTAATGAACTTGGCAAACCCATTGAGCTTAGCTCTGTTGCGTTTCCAGTTTCAGCTGTACCTCTGACCCCACCCCAGGTGCTTCATATTGCTTTTCTGGGTATGCATTTCTCCTTTGCCCAGGGCACTCTTCCTCCTTCTGCTCCTCCACTTTACCTGGTTGTATTCATGCTTCAGTTCTCAGTTTACTGTTACCATTAGTATTATTAGCTGGTCTTTATTGGGTGCTTGCCATTTTCCAGACGTTCTGCCAGATTTATGACATGCATTTCAATGAATGCTCACATCAACCCTTTAAGCTCAATGTAGCATTATTCCTATTTTAAAATTGATGAAATTGAGGCTGAGAGAGATTAAATAAATTGGCCAAGGTTATACATTAAAACCAGTGAAGGCAGAATTTGAACTCAGGTTTGCAGGACTCGAAAGCTCTAGTCCCAGTCATTGTAATATTAGATATCACTTTCCCAAACATAGGATTAATTCCCCTTTTATGAGCACCTATAACCCTCTGTACTTCTCTTTATAGTATTTATCATGATAATTGTCTGTTTACCTTTCTGTATCCCCCACTATTATGAAAATTATGAGCATGTCTGTATTGTTCAACATTTTACCCCCAAGGCCTTGTGCACAGTAGTCACGCGACAAACATATTTTTGAACAAATGTGTCCATGACTTTAGATCAGACTTAGTTTTCCCTCATTATGACATATTTGGTACCTTGCAAGCATCTCCAATCAGTAAAGTCACAAAAATTTCATTACAAGTATAAGTTTCTCTCTCTCTCCGCCCGTTCCCTGTCTCTGTCTTTTGATGTTCTTTTGTTTGTTTTTATAAAATTCCTGAGAAGACCCTTCTTAATCAGAAAATCGTGTTATATTTAATGACTGTTTTCCCTTGGAAGAAGGGAATGAGAACAGAACTCTGGAAGGGAATCCTGTAAAAGCTCTGTGTTTGCCGCAGTGGGCCCTCCAAAGATGAATAAGACACAGGTCCTGTCTGCAGGAAGCTTAAGTTTTAGTGAAGAAACTGTATATACAGAAAGTCATCAAATGTTAATGGTCTAATAACTCTGTATCTTCAGGAATATGAATATTTGAATATGTTTAATACTTTGGAAACAAACACATTAGCTTTGATAAGCCAATCCTATTTTAAATGAATCCAACTTACTTTTTAGAGGAAAAAAGGTCAACTTCTAAATGTCAGAGTCCTGTAAACAGATATCTAAATGCTGAAGTAAGATAAGTGACAGGTGTGAGGATTGGTTTTTTGTTTTGTTTTGTTTTGTTTTGTTTTGTTGTCTTCAACTAAAAACTGGGGGCACATAATACATGCCTGAAGTACCAAATTCAAAAGGCACAGGAGGATGTGCATTGAAAGTATGTCTCACCCTCCTTACCCTGCTCTTGCACCTGACTTTCAGTTCCCTTCTGTAGAGGCAACTACTAATTCCACTTTGTTCAGTGTCCTTCTAGAAGGGTTTTAGTGCCTAATACATGATTAACTGACAAGCTTACTCAAGCAAAATTGTGAAATCTACCCTGTGCCCTTTCGCCCTTCTTTCACAGCTCTTCGTCCTTTCCCAGGTACCAAGGATTAGTGTGCCAGATATTCCGTTAGGAGAAAAACCACACACACTCATTTTCACAAAGTGATGATGGTTTTAATTACCCTTTCCCCAGAGCATTTTCGTTGTTGGGAACCTCTTTAGGAACAAGGCGATACTTAGCACAGGTAATAAATCCCCAAAGTAGAATTAGACATGGGGGTGGTGCATAGGGGCATAAGTGGAAGGGGTGAGCAATACATATTTGAATAGAAATTCTCCTTCTGTTGGGGCACTTAACTATTCAGACCTACATATTTTGGTCCTGGGTTTGTTCTTTGGTTAGGAAAAAGCATAATTATGCTGATCCTAGAAGCAAGGTAGGATCCAGATCATGTCAAATGACTAGTTAACATGTGCCAAGTTATGTGTGTGTGAATCCCAAAAGGGGGTATTAATTGTTGACTCCATTTAAAAGTTAAGGAAACTGAGATGGATAACTAAGGTTAAATAACTTGTCCAAAGTCACACACAGCTAATAAGTGGCAGAACTGAGGTTTTCATGAGAATGCAAAGGCCATTTTTGCTTGAAATCCTTGTTCCCAGTTGTGGCTAATCATAACAGAAGGTTAAATCAATATAAAATAACTAACTGGCCCATCCAGTGTGGCTCAGTAGTTGAGCGTCGACCCATGCACCAAGAGGTCACCAGTTCAA